GTGTATACATGCAAGGGCAAGATGATTAATGATATTAACTTTCAAAGAACAAAAGAGTTTTAATTCACAATACAGGTAATCAACTAACCAACTTATAAAGCAATTGTAGGCTTGTTGTTGTGGTTGATTGAATTTCTAGATGTTCTAAACCACAAGCTTTAGTCCTAGATGTTGTAGTTACCTTTCCTAGTAGTAGTCCTAAGATACCCTTTTAACTGAAAACCCTATAAACACACATTGAAAGTGGAACCTGATCTACAAAATCTTCATTTTCAATCATAAATGAACCATGGTCCAAAGCAAGGATTGATCGGACTAAGGACTAATTTATTAACATTGTGCTAGTTGAGACTAATGCGCACCGGCGATGCGGACTGCATTGGCAGAGTGATCATTTGTCAGATTGGGCCCAAACTTTTCTGGAAGCTTCTAGAGGTAATTTAAAGGTGCTTGGACTCAACAATTGATAGATTCTAATCCAAATTATCCTCATGTTCAAAAAGTGAAAACTTCCAGACTAATCTGAGTCTATTTGCATGGGAATTGGATACTTGATGGAATTTAATGGTCCACTTTGAGCTATAAGTTATCCAAAGAGTATTTGATTCTAGAAACATTGAAGAATTTGGATGAATAGCAGCCTCAGGATTCAAATGCCATCAAAAGTCAGAATAAAGGAAGGATGGTCAAATTTCGAGAGATTTCCAATAGGAACATGTGAAACCAATGCGCGTTTCACGTTTGTGCTGACATTAACAGTATGGCAAGGTTATTGTATATGCAAGCTAATTTTCTTGTAGTTGATGTGGATAAATTGTTGTATCAAATATACTCCTTAAGGATTGTCAAAACACAAGCTTGTTCTGATGCATATAGCAGAAAACCAAGGGATTATTTTGATACATCTCAATACTATTTTGATAGATCATTACATAACCATGTGATTTCATCCTTCTCCATGTCCCTACAACACATGCAATATAGGACTTATCCAAAGATTTCAGGAGGTCATAAAAGGATAAAACATGAATTTTAGTTTCACTGCAGATTAGACAGATCAAAAACCTTTGATGGCTTAATCTCATCACAATGAGCTTAATCTTTACCCAAAAGAATTTATTAACAATTCCAAGTTGATTTTCACCGAATTTAAATAGAAAATACGCAAAATCGATTCTTCATTGTAGTTTCTCGACACATATGAGAAATCATCTCAATGAATCCATAAACACCATCAAATGATCTCCAAGTGCTCCAAAACTTTGAAAGTGAACTTCTCATTTATTTCTCGGACTACTAACAAAATTTCATATTGAATCGACTTGCATAGATACCAATTCGATTTTTCACTACAGTTTTATGGTTGTAACTTATATCCATATAGTCTCCTGTGGTGAACTTCAAAACATTATTAGAAAATGTCCAAACCTTATGAAATTTGGACAATAGTTATTGAGACCATAGAAATGAATTGTACCAATGTCCAGGTCAGACTGATTTGATTCGAATAGGTTGTCAAAGTGGACTGGAAGTCATTTACGACTACAATGAATTTACAGTTGCCTTCAAATGAAGCCCAAATCTTATTAAATCTGTATAGTTGTGATCCAATGCATTATCTTGCCCGTTTGCTAAGTTTTAAATCGAATTGAACGGACTTGATGGAGTTTTTGAGGTTGATTGTGGCTTAAGACTATATGTCATTTTGCTTCAGTGAAATCTGATTGAATTCTATCTAAAATCTTAGTGACTTGAAAACCACCTAAACATTGCTCTCTTGCCTGATCAGTATCACAACAACCTGCTAGCTCGATAGGATTTCCCTGCTTATAAAACACCCTCATGGATGGTCGATTTACATACCTCAATATTCGACTGCATATATGTGTGGTTTCTTAAGATCTTGCATGAATTAGTTCACAATCTTAACTTGATATGCCAGAGTTGGTGAGGTAATGGTTAGTTAGATTAGGTCACCTACCTTCTCTCTATAAGATTTGGCATCTTATTTGAGATCCCACCATTATTTGACAATTTATGGTTCACATCAATATTTGAAAAGTCGACTCGGGCCGACTACTTAGCCCATGCCCGATTAATGTAGCAACTGAAAACTATTAAAAAAAAAATCCTAAAAAATAGGAAAAGTATATTCAAAGTAAAATTTAACAAAAGACAACTAATTGTGGTTAAGAAAGCAGCGAAAAAGTATTTTAAAAATGAGTTTGTGACAGGGGGTATTTTCACAATTTTTCAAAAAAACATGAGAAAATGTAAAAATAAGTATTCATGGCCAAAATACTTTTCAATCTTTGCCAGAATAATAGAAAATATAATAAACATGTCACAAATATATTTCTTATTTTTTAAGACTTTTTGTATTTTTTTATTTTTTTTAAGATTCAGTTGGACCTCCAACTCGGGACAACTTGGGCTCGGCAAGGGTCCAAGCCCGAGCCGAGTCGAAATGACTCAACTGACTTTTCAAACACTAGTTCACATTGTGGTACCTAATCGGTTTTGAACTTTTCAACTCAAATTTTTCTAGTATATCCAATTCAAACTTTTTTTGTATGATCAATATGTTTCATTCATATATGATAACTTCATTCCCAAAAAAACATTTAAGTTCTTCCCAATGTTTGGATAATCAAATCATCGAAATCAAATGCAGTAATGATTGTTTCTATAGAAGTGATTCAAAATATGCATGAATCCATTATATAAAGAGACAAATCCTTGTGAGTGAAAGAAGTCCACACCTTGTCAAGCCATATAGAGCCTTCTTTGGCTTTGCATACATGTCAAGCCCTCTTAGCAAGGTATTTCATGTCCATTTAATGGTGCTCCCAACTTTTCACTGCATCAAAGGGGATTATCACATAACCACTTAAACTTTAAATATTACATAACCACTTAAACTTTAAATATCACCTCATATTCTTCCCCATAAATCAAATACCATTTATAATGCTTGAGCTCTTCACTGAATTTGAATTTTATTTTACAAATTCATTTGCAATCAGTTGCCTTTTTCTTTTTTCTTTACTGTAGCTAAAGTGTTTATCTAAGAGAAAAGATTCATTAGATTGTATAAGGGTGACCAAAAAATTCCATGGAAGTGTAAAAATTAGACCAAATCAAAGCGAAGTTAAGAACCAAGAAGTAGTGTTTAACATATCAACCGGGAGAATAACCAAAATGTAGACCACATTTGCATCGGTTGAAGGACAACTTTTTGAGTATGCAACTTCCAACATTTTGTATATCCCAACGATTCTATATCAATTGTGAAATTATTGAAAAAAATTAATAATGTTGAAATTGATGTAGAGTTTTAAAATTTGGATCGGCTGGGGAATCGGCTATCTGAAAAACTGTTCTAGATGGGCAAATTGCCAATCCGGATACGCAAGTTTCACTGATTATTCTGTGCAAGAATCAGTCCAAAATATTAAAAAGTTTGAAAAAAATAAAAATTATAAAAAATGTAAGATGTGGGAATCGGATGATCCGACCGTTCTGAATTACTCGGTTCCCAAACAGAACGCCCTGATTTCCTAATAGAATCGCTTGGTTTCCTAACAGATTTCTCGTTCTGATAGAGAACCAGGTTGATCTATGCTGATTTTTTATATGGATCGGCAATTTATAATATTGATCACCTATTTTTTAAACACTGCCATTGAAAAGAGGTTCCCGTTAAAAAGAAAAAAGCCAATAGAGGGACTAACGTTCGTATTTTATCAATGGAAGTTCCATAGTGAAGAACATTGTAATTGGCACTGGCTGGGCATTCAATTTTTATTTTTATTTTTGGGTTGGGCGTTGTACCAAAAATGAAAAAGATTTATATATAGGAAAAGTTTATATAAAGTTGCATAACCCTCCAATTGATTATCTCGACTTTGATATGTGTGTGACTAAAAAAAAATAATTTTAAATATTAAAAATAGTACATCATGTAATAAGTTTTCTTGACCTTCTATTTTCCAGATTCTCAAGTATTTATAAATGTGCTTGAACTGTACCATTTTGAAAATTTGAAATTTCATAACTAGGGATAAAAATGGATTTTTCAAGCCATTAAAATGTATGCAACATAGGAATTACATCTTCAAATAATTTTTGGAGGTGCGCATTATTTTTAAATATAAGGAAGGCACCTTTTACAAACCTCACCTTTTATATATATAAATTATGAGAAAGTCCATGGCCCAGACATTCCTTGGCGTTATAAGCGAAGGCTAAGTGCTCTTTTTCTCTAAACAGGGTGAGGTTTGTATATGGTGTCAACCTTAAACAATTAAAGTAAGCTGAACGTGCAAACTTTGTCAAAGATATAATTTGGGTGAAAAAAAATAAATAAAGGATTGAGTAGAATTATAAACACTTGAAAATTTTAAAAATAAACAATTTAGATAATACGTCATAAGATACACAATTTACATTATTTAAAATGTTTTTCTTCTCATATCAATCGAGGTCAAGATAATTAATTTGAGAGTTTTCCAATTTCCGAACTAACCTCTTTCATTGGATTTTTAAGGTGCATCCTATTTCAATAGTATAGGGCTGACACCACCTATAAACTTTTGCGAAGTTTAGGCTTTATAAAAACCAAATAAATCAACACCTCAAATCCTAGAAATCACTTTCCCCAACATAAATCTCTCTAAAATCAATCTCTAGAATGGCTTTAAAAATCAATTTTCATCACTCACAATAAAATTTAAAACTCAAACAATGTACGTGTATTATAGATCTTAAAACATTTAGTTTTAGGTGGAAATGGACAGCCTAAACAATTTGTTAAAATATGCACTAGTTTTTAGCTTGAATTTTTTTTTTTTTTTCACTACAATAATGTTGAATCTAAGAGGATCGATGGAACGATTTTCAAATGCTTGTAATTTCTATCAAACCATTTTCCTAAATTTTTTCCCTCGGAAAAAACCCCCACTACCTCTAATAAAACGCTTCACTGTATTTGTAACCCCCTTCTCTCTTTCTCTCTCCTCTCTCTATCACTAAAATCAAAACGCACGCTTCCTCATTGTGGCAGCGCCTTTCTCTGATCAGTCATAGAGCAACTCCAAAACCAATATAAAAAAACTGTATCATTCTCTCTCTTATTTCGAACTCTTGCCCTAAGATCAGGCACTCCATATTTTTTTCACTTCCAATTTCTCCATTTTTACTTAGAGATTTGCCTTTCTTTCATGGATCCAATTCATGAGTTCTTGTGAAGAATTTTCCTTTTGAGTTTATGTTTTGAGGTTTTTTTTTGCTTTTGTTGATTAGGATCCATGGCGAAAGGAGTTGAAGCATCAGCCATGGACGTTGATGAGGTGAAGCCTGTTTCAGCTGATCAGACCAACCCTAAGTTCTCAATTAATGGTAATTCCATTGAGCTTTACTGTAAAGAACATTTTTCCATGTTTTGTTTGTGTTGTTCTCATAAGTTTAGGGTTTGGTTATATTTTGTGGGGATTTCAGTGTTGCAGCTTGTCAAAACTGCTCAATCTCAACATGGTCTGAGGCATGGAGATTATACTCGTTATAGGTACATTCTCATTCATTTATTAGATCATCACTCGTATAAGTGCTTGTTCATTTTATTTGTCTATTTCATTGGAAAGCACTTGATTATATTCTTATTCACCGTTTTCTATGAGAAAAAAAGTGAAATGTGGTTAGTTATTGTGGATTGGATTTAAGTATTGGGAAATTGTATAAACTCATTTTCCGTAACGCCACTTGAATTAATATGTAAATGGGGAATAAAATGCAGTTTCAGATTTTCTTGGTAACTATGTTTTCCTGAAACTCTACGGTATAATGAATGGTATAACCTGGACTATAGAGGAGTTCGATTTTAACAATACAAAAAATGAGGAGTTCAATTTCTTTTTTTACAGGAGATACTGTACAGCTCGTTTGAGGAGGTTGTACAAGTCATTGAAGTTCACTCATGGCCGTGGAAAATATAATCGACGATCTATTACGGAATCTACTGTCACAGAAGTGAGGTATGCTTATGCCCAAGGGATGTTTATGAAAATTTCAGGATATATGTTGCTTTCTCATTTTGTTATTTTTCTTTTTGTTCCGTATGAACATATGAATGCCATCTTTATTTTGGGGTATTGATTATGATCGACATATTGTTTCATTTTTCACATTGCTGCTTTTATTGACTAACAAAATTGTTAGTAAAAATGCCTGTTTGTTCAGTTAATATGCACACTATCTGGTTCAAATCTTAGTTTGTAACTAGGCTTGTAAACCTCGTCTATGGAGGAGTGGTCAAATCTATTTATCGAGTGCAACTAAGTTATAGTGTTGGTGTGTGACACACCCGTACATGCATACAAAAATAAACATCATCATCATCCAAGCCTTATCCCAATTATTTGAGGTCGGCTACTTGAAACCTGCTCCTCTATTCTTCTCTATCAAGGATCTACCCTCAGCAAGACCAAAAGTCACCGTATCTTTTCTCAGTGCTTCTATTTTTGTCCTTTTAGGCCTTCCCCTTGCCCTTTTAGAGCCTTCTACTTGAACCAAATCACACCTCCTAACCGGTGCTATATTGGGTAGACGCTCCACATGTGTAGCCCACTTAAGTCTCATTTCTCTCATCAGATTGCCTATTGAAGTCACATCTAAGTTTCCTCATATCTATTCATTCCGAATTCTATCTTTTTTTATCTTGCTACTCATCTATCTCAACATCCTCATATCACCTATGCTTATCCTGTGGATGTATTGTCTCTTGAACACCAACATTCTGTTCCATAAAGCATGGTTGGTCTTACAATTGCCTATAGAACTTCCCCTTCAGTCTCAATGGCATGCGGCGATCACCCAAAATTTTGGATGCACATCTTCACTTTGCCCATCCAGCTCTAATTCTATGTGCGGCATCTTCATTCTCCTAGGGGTGGCGGGTGGTAACTGGTCGGATTAGGTTCAGGTTCAGCTGGACCTGGACCTGAAAAAATGATATGGGACCCGGACCCAACCGGACTCGAAATCACTGGACCCTGACCTAGACCCAGACCCAGACCAGACCCAGACCCAGACCCAGACCCAAAAATATAGTGTGGGTTCCGGACCCAATCATACTCGATCCAAAAAATTAAAATATCTATGTATTTAACTATATTTAAATATTTTTCCTATATTGGGACTTGAAAATTATTACCGGACCCGGACGCTGTCCTCCAGGTCCTCCAGGTCCAATTTTTGGACCCATACCAACCCAGATCGGGTCTACCCCTTGGGTCCTTGGTTGGGTCCGGGTCCATTGCCACCCCTACATTCACCTGGATTATCGACCTTAGATATCATAAACAATCTCTTTTAGGTATTTCTTGACCATCAAGCTTAACTACTTCCTCGTTCTCACTCCTATTATTACTAAACTTGCATTTCATATATTCTGTCTTAGTCTGGCTAATTATAAAACCTTTAAATTCTAAAGCATCCCTACAACGTTTCTGACTTTGCGTTGACGCAACCTCTTGTCTCAGTGATCCAAACTATGTCATCCACAAACAATATGCACCATAATACCTCTTGTAGGTGCCTGGTTAATTCATCTATGACCAAAACAAAGAGATCAGGGCTCAGCGCTGACCCCTGATGTAGGCCCATTGTCACTGAGAATTCACTTCTCTCCACTAGCTATTCATACACCAATGAACTCTCTGTCGTACGTATCTCACTATGTCAATATAGCCTCTGGTGACTCTTTTTTTTTCCAACACCTACAAAATTAAATCTCTAGGTACCCTATCGTATGCTTTCTCTAAGTCAATAAAGACCATGTGGAGGGCTTTTCCCTTCACTCTAAACTTCTCAATCAGTTGCCTAAGTAAATGGCTTTGATAGTTGACCTCCCTCTCATAAAACTAAGTTGATTTTCTGATACGTACATTTCATGCCTTAGACGTTGCTCAACAAATATAAGACCAACATGCCCACCAAATAATACAAAATTTTATATGTCTGCCACAATACAAAAAGTGGCGTTCCATATCTTGTATGGGCTTAGATACCAATATCTAATGGCATTAGTCGATATATTGGATGTGAAACTGAGAAAGATGAATGAATACCTAGTTGGCGATTTTTGGAAAATAATGGGTATAACGTGGTTTGCAAGGAATATAATGTGCCCTATTTATTTTAAAAAAGAAAAGATATAATGCCATATTTTTCTATTTATTGAATATTAATTGCATTTTATAAAATAGCGGGTTTTATAAAATATATATGTATCCATATTTTTAAAAACAACAGATATTGTTGGATTTATGATATGAACTATTTGCTTTTAAACTTGAAACCGGAAATATTGGTCTTTACACCAGTATAAATCAACTGACTATATTAAAAAGTCATGCTATTTAACTATGTTGCCTGATTATGATATTCTACCCATAACTGTCATGAATTGTGATGGGCATGTCCTGGATGTGTTACGTTGGCCAATACATCTGATTTTATGACTGTTTTTTGAACCATGTTAATACGCGTGGACATACTAACTCACACATGTTTGCATGTGTGTGCATGCTCACTCTTGCATGTGTGAGCGTGTATGAGTGCATCAGTATTATGCATCCCTTAGTTTAATTAGTTATACACAGCTATTACTCCCAAGTTTTTGACGTATTCTAGTATATTTTCTTGATTTCTAAATAGGTTCCTCCATGTAGTGCTTTATATGGCTGAAAGGGCTTGGAGTCATGCCATGGAGAAAAAACAAGTCCCGGATGGACCAAATGCTCGCCAGAGAGTCTATTTACTTGGTAGGTTGAGGAAGGCAGCTAAATGGGCTATCCTTTTTGCACAATTATGTTCGGCTAAAGGAGATTCCAGAACCTCATTAGAAGCAGAGGTATTCCATCTAATATTATTTTTTGTACTTTTTATCATGGCACTCATTGATCAGTCATAAATTTGGGATATTTTCATGCATCAGTCTATGACAAATGAGCCTTTTGACAAGGAAGCTTCACACTCTAGCACATGTATAGAACAAGAAAGGAGTTCACTTGTGCATACATGCTTCCTGGTGTTATGTACATTAGTCTTGTGTCAACCACTGAATATGCCTATATCATCACTTAATGTGATTATAAACTGAGAATCAGAATCTATTAGTTGGGGGTTGAAGTAAATTTATATTTGGATTCAAGTAATTGTTTAAATTTATCATACTGTACTGGATCTTACCAGTACAAATAGATCTGTACTTACTTCAATTGTATGTAATGTCTTTGTTATAAGCCCTTCTGTGTAAGGGTGTTGAGGCCGGGCTTCATCCAGTTAACAAATGGGGATTGCCCATACTTCAGTCTCATTGTGCATGGAGCATTTATTTTTGCTTTTTATAAGCACAGATGCATTTCAGATAAAGGACAAAAAAAAGAAAACGAAAAAGAAAAAGATGAAGATACATATAAAATTATTTTAAGGCTTTATGTAATCTGAACGTAGAGTCAGACTGCTGCATATTAGTTAATTTCATTTGCCATGAAAGGGGGGCCAATGACTTCTGAAAACTGTTGATCTTTTTAGTACTTCGTCAAGGCTTCTTGCCTCCATAGACTTCCAGTCTGGTCCTACTTGCCACAAAACACTCACTTTAGTATACCCTAATTTGCACATATGAGCATGAGCACATCTAATGCAGTAAGTGTGGATCATCCAGCTCTTTTAGACTGGTTTATTTTTCTGGAAGATTACTTTGATTGGTACAACAAGTGTGGGAGTGGAACCCTTCCTTCAGAAGGAATCTTTCAGATGAGGAATTTTCACACTTCCTTTCTCTCTCCGCTACTCTACATAACTCTTTCATTGCCACACATGGGAGGGATCAGTCGGTTTGATCTCTCACAACTTCTGGTACTTTCACAGTGGCTTCTCTCTATAAAAGACTTATACAGCCACCCACTTTCCCTCTCAACCCCCCTTCGGTGTTATCAAAGGTGTGGTCCACAATCGCACCTCCCAAAATGCAGTGTTTTAACTGGATAGCAAGATCTCAAAGGGCCCTCACTGTGGATCAGCTTCAAAAAAGAGGAATTCCAATTCCCAATAGATGTGCACCCTGTCTCTGCGACCCCCATATTTTCCTTCATTGCAAGATGGCCCATGGTATTTGGGGTAAAATGTTGCAGCTTTGTGGAGTTCAATGGGTTATGCTGGTGACAGTCAAGGATTTGTTATCTCTCTACCCCTTCCTTCACTGGCCAAAGGCTGGAAGAACACTTTGGAAATCTGCTATGGCCACAATTATTTGGACAATCTGGAATGAGAGAAATTCTAGGATTTTTCAAGGAATAGCTATCGCAGGCCCAGCCTTGTTCCCCAAAGTTACATCCTTAGTAACTTTCTGGGCTTCCAATCACCGCACGTTCGCAAGGTTCCCTGCCAATACCTTCCTCTGCAATTGGAAAAATATTATGCTCCACCGTCCTCGCAAGGCCCAAAGATCCCATAACTGGCGACCTCCCTCTCTAGGTAATATTAAACTCAATTTCGACGGGTGCTCCTTGGGGAACCTTGGTCATGCTGGAGCGGGAGGAGTGTTCAAGGACCACCACCGGGCAATTTTGTTTATGTTTCCGAATACCTGGGCATCCAAGACTCTCAGCATGCCGAGGCAATGGCCCTCCTAATGGGGTTGAAAAGCTTCAAACTGTCTCGGGGGCAAAATCTTAATGTGGAAGGGGATGCTAGTAACATCATTTCATGGGCATCAAGGGGTTCCTCCCCTCCTTGGTATCTTGCTCCTATTTTTGATGAGATCACTGATATTTGCAGGGATATGGACGTCTCTTGGACGCATACCTTGAGTACGTCAAATGAATTAGCTGATCTTCTAGCAAAGGACGGGGCCAGGGCTCACACTGAACACTTTTCCGAGTCACTTTCGACCCGGACCACGGAGGGGTCAGGGAGCAGCAGTCCTCGGCCAGCTATTTTTTGACTTGCATCACAAAGTCTTTGTACAAAGGGGCAATATTTATAAGCCCATTTTTTTGTAAAATCATTGTATATCTTATAGTATCAAGGACAGTTCTTTTAACAAATTTTGTATAGGGTTGACATACAACCTTTTTTACGAAGAGTCCCACTGGATAGGGACTCTCGCTTTAAACACTTGTGTATAACTACACTTTTATTGGAATACAGTTAACTTTTATCAAAAAAAAAAAAACAAGTTTGAGTCTAGGGAGGTCAGATTTGTTGAAGCTATATACTAAAGGGATCATAAATTTGGTGGCAATGTCTAGAAGACAAGCTTCATAGATTGGGTCAGCTTGCTATCCATACTTGGGAGGAAATGAAAGCTAGGATGAACAAAAACTTGCCTCCAAAACAATCTGAAGGTTATGAAAGTTAGTCTACTATTGAGCTACTTTACCTAGTGTTTGGAGATGTATGACTAATGTTTTGAATCAGTCCACACTCTATAGGATTTTCATCTTTATCAATATCTGGCAATTTATAGGGTAGTTTATTAGGCAGCAGATTTAAGAAGTTGATAGTATTTTTTGCACCTCTTGGGGTTGAACAAAGTTCACTTGATTGGCAGGTTTTAGAGCTGTGTTATCTGATTCACTTTGGTTTGGTGAATCAGCCAAAGTCTTCGGGTTTGGCCACTCAACTGAAGTGGAACGGAGAGAATATTGATATTCTCAAAATATCTGCTGATTTATTTAAAATACCTTTGACATGTATCATTTGAGATATAAAATTAATGTGACATGCCATGCATAATATATTAACTAAATTGTGATATTCCATGTGCACTATATAGCTCAGATTATGTAACATGCCATGTGTACTATAACTTGCCACATGCGTATTCATAGATACTTTAGAGTGAAAAGACTGTAGGGAGGGAGGGGCACGCATGAGAGGGGGGGAAGATTGTTCCTAACTGCTCTGTCATCCACTTCTATCAGCTGCTAACCGCTAACCTACTGCAGAGCCATGGTGGGGCTAGTTTGGAAGGTGTTATTCATCAAATATGCCTTCTAAACTATGTCCATGAATGAGGTTATTCATAAGTAAGTAATGGCATGAATAAGGGTAAGAGAGTTTATTTAGTTATTTATTTGATGGGCAGGGGAGATAAATTCTCCCTTTTCATATAAGTGGGGGTTTGGCACCAAATAATGTTTTTTTTTTTCTAATTTATGAATGATGGGACCTAATAATGGATTCCTCATGAATATCTGTTATATCACTAGAGGCCATTTAGAAGCCAACTTCATAGCTGGAAGAATGTGTTTTTTTTATTGAATTGTTGACTTAGGACTTTGATACATTGCATCTTATTTACTGCACTTGAATTCCTCATGGTTGTTTGATATAATTTTGTGAGATGATCTTGCACTGCCTTCCTGATACTGATTATGTGATTTTCTCTGTAGTCGCTTGATCTCCTTCCACTATAATGTTATATTCGTCGATTCTTGAGTTATTCACTGTTTTCTTGCATTTGCTAATAACTTGGAATAAAACTTGGCAAAAAAGGAGAAGTATTTGAAAGAAAGTTTAAGCTTTCTATCAAGAGTTGCCAGAATTGGATTCTTCACCCATTTTGGACTAGGATGGCATACTTGGTCTTTTACTAATTGTGGACATGTATGACGTACATTGTAAATATTCGATACCAAGAAAATCAAAGGATAGTGGTCCACAAATCATGATTATGGTCATTATGTCTGATGATCAATTATCTTCAGGGATCTATCTAATCCTTTTCTATGCCGGTATGCTCACAAAATTATTGCTTCATATTTGTATTATTGGATCTTCAATTTGGATCAATTGCTGGTTAGTACCAATACTAACGACTTTGGGATCTGTATTGTTTTTCTTAGACGATATTATGCACATCTTAGATAATCTTTGTCCTCGTCCATAAATTTGGTATGACACAGTTGTTGGATGTGCAGGCATATGCCTCTTATATGAAAGGGAGTTTGTTTCTCGAACGCGAGCAGAATTGGGACACTGCCTTACAGGATTTCAAGAAAGCAAGGTAGTGATGTTTCTTGGATCTTCTTGAGTTTGAAAATTTTATGTCATCATCTGAATAGGGTTAGAATGTTAGGCTGGTTTTTCTGCAAATATATATGAATGAATGCAATCACTTTCTAGCCGACATCCTTAAATGAGAGTTCTTTCCATTCTAAGCTTTTATGATTCATATTTCAAATACTTTTTATCAGAAATTGTGACTGCTAAATATTATCAAGTTGCTCATTTTTCAGTTTCTACATCATATTAAAGCCTTTTATTGTGCAATATCTCTTTTCATTTTGAATAGGAAAATTCTATTGTTGAGTTCAGAAGATCAGGTTGCCAATTATTAGAAATTCAATGCACTAATGCTTCTGTTGTTAGTGATCACCTTAAGTACTTTTATTGTTGACAGATGTATTCACAATTTTATTGGATCAAATAAATTGGATACAGTTATTTATCAAATTTAAACAGTAATTTTCATTTAATTTGTTATCATGTTTAATTTTTTAGGCTGTACATGGTACTTGATTGTGTTTCATCTTTTTTGCTTAACTATGTCTCCTATATTTTAGTTGTTTTCCATGTATTGGGATCTGGGGATGCTTCCATGATCTGTTCTTTGAGTCATGCTTCTTCACTGCAAGATAAGAATCATTCTTATTTTGGATTCAGATTACTAATGTATTCTTATTTTGGATTGCCAGGGCTATTTATGAGGAGCTTAGTAAATATGGGGACGTAGAGAATCAAATCCTGTGTCGTGAACGTGTTGAAGAGCTAGAACCTAGTGTTAGGTATTGCTTATACAAGATGGGAAAATCAAGCTTACCAGCTTCTGAACTTTTAGATATGGGGAAGATGGAAGGACCTTCATTAGACCTTTTGCAAGCTAAACTTGAGGTGGGGTTGGATTGCATCTTCATAAGACTTGCTGTTCACCGGAAAAAAAAAATCACATCATATATTTACTTATATATTTTATGTTTGAGAAATGCATTAGATTAACTGGACAAGAACACCTTTCACTTTGTAGTGAGTTGGTAATTGAAACCTATGAATCGAGGTACTAATCTCCTATATAAGAATGTTTACTTGGTGATTACGCACACACTCGAAAAAAGTAATCATTTCTTTCAACCTAAGAATATACTGGACCACAATACTGCTTAGCAATTCATTAGTCTCTTTGAAGTGACCACTTCATATATAGAAAAAAGGAAAAAAAAAGAAAAAGAAAAAGAAAAAGAAAAGAAAACCACTATACAAAGTTGGCTCGGTGTATCCGCTAATCAGTGGTGCAACATTAAGCTATGAGACTGTCATTGTTAACATATAAGTGAGAGAACTGATAAAAATTGTTCAATACCATGGAGCTTCACTTGTTCCTCAATCATTGGATTCTTCACTTGCAGCAGAGCTGACAATGCAACTGTATGATAATTTTGAACTTACCATGTAGCACTAAAGTACCCATACCCAGAATACCATATATGCTTGTTACAATTGATCTTCTAGTATGTTTATAGGCAATGATGCACATAAGATGATCTGGTGCCATATGGAAACACCTATGAGTCTTCCCTACTGTCCATTTGCATTAGATGATACCATTTAGTTTGATGAGTTATCCACCTCAATTCACTTCTAATAATTTATGCTTCGTTGTGGGTGTTCTGTGCTATAGAACATTATGTCAGATACCCAAGGTGAGGAAGGTTACATAGAGGTTGTAGCTAAAAGCTTTGGGTGTGAGGTGTGCTGTGGAGTTACTCTGTGCTATCTGCCTTGGATTGTTCTTTTGTATGGGCACTTTGAATAGTGCATCATAGGAGCTTGGGTGGTTCTTGTGTCTTGGCACTTTAACCAATGCCTGGAGGCCAGGTTTTAATAAAATTCATGTTTAGAGACCTCTAGCACTTAAATAATCTGTGTTTGAGGCTTTGAAATGTGTTGCTTGGGAAAATGGATGTCAACCGTGCACCATCGTAAGCTGGCTTTCTACCATGATTAATAAGATGTTGATGTCAACTGTGAGATTCACTGTCCTAGCCCTTTGAAATGGTATGTCATATTCTTTGGATAATTAATTATGTCCTGTAAGAATTATTTGTATGCTATCAGTGCTGTGGAAGTTGATCACTTTGTCCCCTTGTAGACAATTGCTGCAAAATAATTCCGTGCATATAAGAGTTGAACCAAAAATTAATTTACAGAAAGGAAAGTTTGTAGTTGACAAGCATTGATGCACCAAAAAACTGTTCTAAATGGATTTCTTTAATTTTCTTGTTATGTGCAGGCTGTCATGGCTGAGGCTAGATCACGGCAGGCAGCATCCATGACAGAGTTCCACTGGCTTGGTCATAGATTTCCAATTACCAATGGGAAGACTCGTGTATCCATTCTAAAAGGTTCGTAGACACATTCTGAACTTTGAACAATCTATGCATACTGAATCTGTCGTCTATATTAACAAAATTGCATAGATAATTACAGTTTATGAACTGTTTTTATCGCATATTGTGATCTAACTATAGACCATGGTCATCTATGGCCTTGGAGATTGTTCTTCATGGATGGGATGGATCGCTACTTGCTGGAAGACCCTGGATTGCTGGGGTGGGACTGTATTATGTGTATCTGTATAGTGTATATGTGTCAACTTTTTTTGTATTTTGCATCCAACCCTCTCTGAGTTCTTAACACTGTTTGCATAACTTCTTTGGTCAAAATGAGGGTAACGTCATTTGTGGAACAAAATAACAAATTACCAGAATATGCAGAACACTCTTTGATACTTAACATGTTGTTTCTACTCTCTGTGAAGAAATGTATAAAACGTCATACATGCAGTCCTACTTGAACTGTGTGCTCAGTAGTTTAGAGACTGCAATTAAGAAAATGTATCATTTTTTTTTTGTTTGTGGTTCTCTTTTTGCCTTTTGAAGAAAATTCAATGAACATGTATCATCTTCACTGGGTCTGAGGGGACTGGTGTATTTTATAATGATAACTACCTTGACGGGTTTGAAATTTATAAGCTTTTAGGGACTTGTCTATGTTGCTTTATGTGCCTAACTTCCTGATTACTGCATTGACTCTTAGGATGAAACTTTAATGGCATGTTACTCATGTCTTGTGCCTCTTTTTCTTTCTTTCTTTCTTTTTTTTTGCCTTTTTTGTATCATTTATGTGATGTTAGGAATGATTTTGAGCAGCTCAGGAGCTGGAGAAGGATTTGTATGGATCTGCAGGGGATTCACTTCCCGCAGAGAAAAAGCTTGCTACTTATGACAAAATATTTGCTGCATATCATGATGCAAGGCGCTGCATTCGTAGTGATTTGGTATGTATCTGTACCCATGTGGAGAGCTAAGATGTGTTGCATGAAGTGTACTTAATGAGGTTGCCCTTTTTTTTTGCATGGATGTCATGTTCAGAGTTGTTCTTTTTTTTCTTATTGGCCAATACAACTCCTCATTTGTTTCTTTCTTCCCCAAACGTTAGGTTGACATAACATAATGATTGTAACACATAAATGTTAATCTTGGATTTTATGCTGGCCATTTTTTTTTCCCAACTGTCTTTCTATTTAGGTCACTGCAGGTAATTCGGAAGATGTAAAGGATGATTTGAATGGCCTTGACAAGGCTGTTAGTGCTGTCTTAGGACAACGTACCATAGAGCGCAATGAGCTGCTTGTTAGCATTGCAAAAATTAAATTCAATCGGAACCGTGAAGATAAGAATGAAAAAGTTACAAAACCTGAGGAGCTTGTTCGATTATATGACCTGTTAATTCAGGTACGTATCCTTGTGGACTTACGGGAAGTCTAGAATTAAAGGATTTCTCTGATTTAATTTCACAGAAAAAGGAGGTCCCCGATACTGTGAATTTGTGATTATTGTGGCTCATTAAGATTACATACAAGAGCACCATTTCTTTGTGTATCAATAATTAGATCTTTGTATGTTGACAGAATACTGCAGATTTATCTGATTTGGTAAGTTCTGGACGAGATAGGAGGCCAGAAGAAGTGGAATTTACTGAAGAGTATGTGCTGAAGGGTATGGTGTTCCGTGCTGAAAGGTCTGTTTTTTTTCCTTTGAAGGCATTTGACTGGTTGGCTATCTGTCCTGCTCAGAATCTTAGTGTTTGTGCTCTTATTTGTTCCTTGGAGTACATATTGGATTAATATGACTGCCACTATTTGAAGTTTGTCATGCCTCTGGTGAAGTTTTAGAGTTTAAACATGATGCCTAGATTTCTGGTCATGCAATTTGGGTGTATATTTAGTGCAAGAGGTTCTACATTAAAAAATATTGGAGAACTCTCCTTTTCAGAGCCAATGATATCTTCTGCATTTCATCTCACTATTTACCAATTACAATGTTACCCGACCACCTATCTGACTCAAAATCTATACTGAAATCCTAGACATTATTGAAACCAAACATCTCAACTGCATCCTTTCTTCTGTCTGTGAAGTTGAGATCGCAGGCTCAGGCCAATGGGAGGCCCTCGCCTGCTAGGAGCTTCTGGCGGTATCTGGGACCCCAGCCTCCGTCATAGGTTGGATGCGGTTATAGCTAACCATTCTGTTACCATCTCCTTTTCCAGAGTCTCAGATAGGACTTCTTGGAAATTCTCAGCAGTCTATGACCAAACAACTCTAACCTCAGGAGCCATCTTGGAAAGAACTTGATTGTGCTGCCTCCATGCACCCATGACTGAAGTAGGAACAATAGACTCAGCAATACATGGCAGATTTCTCAGACTTCATACAGAGGATCAACCTTCTAAAAATTCCCCTGAACGGTGCTAACTTTACCTGGTCCAACCACTCACCCAGCCCTACACTTTCCAAATTAGACTGCTTTCTCACCTCTTCTGAATGGGATGAGTTATTCCCTGGCACCCATTTCTTAGCCTTACCAAAGACAACCTCAGAACACAAATCTATCCTTTTAGACACCTCCCCTGGATCAACTGGCAGAAGACCCTTTCAGTTTGAACTCCCTGGTTTGAGGAAGCCAACTTCCACTTACTGGTTTCACAGTGGTTGAACTCTTCTCTATGCAAGGTTGGGCCGACTTCAAATTCCAAAAGAAACTCCTAGTGCTATATGTCCCTCTCATACAGCACAGAAGGCAACTCTTGGGCAATTTTGAAACCACAAATAATGACATGTTGAGATAAATTGAGGAACTAGACTCTCTGGAAGAGGAGGGAATTATCAAATGGCTGAAGCCAAGCTAGAGAATTAAACGGCTGAAGTTCGGAGACCAGAACTCAAGCCAAGTTAGAGAATTAAATGGCTGAAGTTTGGAGACCAGAACACGAAATTCTTCCACATAATGGCAAAAAATAGGTGTAGTCACTCACATAAGGATTGGCCGCCTGTACAGTCAACCCCCTAGAAGGGGAAGGGGCAATTATCAAATTCTTCAAAAAACTCCTGTCTAGACTTGTCCTAGACCTAAAATTGCTGACCTGTCCTTCCTTCTTTCCTCAGATAAGGCTGACTGGTTGGAGCAGCCTTTTTTGGAGTAGGAAATTCTCAAAGCCGTCAAGGACTGTGGACAAGACAAAGCCGTTGGCCCTGATGGCTTTCCAATTTCCGTGTTCACTAATTCTGCGATCTCATCTGTCCAGAAATGCTAGCCTTTTTCCTTGAATTCCATGAGAGCAGGGTCCATAAGGCTATGAACACCACCTTCCTGGCCCCAATCCCTGAAGTCGAGGGGGCTGAATAGCTCAAAGACTTCAGACCTATCAGCTTCCTCAATTGTTCCTACAAGCTCTCGGCTGAAGTCCTAGCCTCCCGTCTTAAGGAGGTCCTTCACTGGGTCATTTCACCAAACCAAGGTGCCTTCATAAAAGATAGGCAAGTTTTAGATGGGGCCTTTTTTGTGCGTGAATGCAGAAACTCTAGACATCTAGCAAAAATTCCAGGGTTGGTAGTCAAGCTAGACTTGGAAAAAACCTATGACTATGTGGACCGGGCTTTATACGGGGTCTTATTAAGAATGTGTTTTGGTGATAAATGGAGCCCCTGGATCAATGGGTGCATCTCGGGTCCGTACTTCTCAGTACTGATAAACAGTGCTCCCAAGGGATTCTTCTCCTCATCAAGGGGTCTTCGTCAAGGAGGACCCGATCTTTTTGCCTTAGTGACCGAGGTTTTTAGTAGATTGGTTGATAGACTGTACCAACATGGTCTTCTGGAAGGTGAGGAGGTTGATAAGGAGTAGTACAAAGGATAGAGAATAAGATTGCACTAAGATTGCAAAGGTGTAGAACATAGGATCCCAGTGTCCCAAAGTGCCCCCATCAGCTCTGATGCGAAGGATTCAAAATCTATGTTAACTTGTGTAGTAGGTAATCCAAGGTCAGACACATTCCTTCTCTCTCTTGGCAGGAACAAGTCAAACCTGAATCCTCAAGTCCTTGCCATTGCTCATATGAGGGAAAGGAGTGCTACTTTGAAGAGCACCTCTACAAAGCTGATAGCATCGAGTCACACAAAGAATTAAGGATTTCTCTGTCCAGAGAATATATGGGAGACATATTGCATGTGATGCAATCGCACTACGATGGTAACTTGAAAGGCATTTCTGAGCATTTAGAGCTAATGCAGAGAGGAAGGGAGAAGATTAGAGGGAGTTGCACGATCTGTAGAGGCAGCAAAGGCAACGGCAGAGAAAATAGAGATATTGAACCTAATTTATAATATCAATTATGAGGAGAATAGACCCTCAAAAAAACAGGGTGGGAGGTGTCTACTAGTCCTGCAAGGTGATCAACTCTTGCTAAGTTCGTGTAATGGAGCATTAGGGATTTGAGTAAACCCCAAAAGAAAGCAGTTAGATGCTTCGCGAAAAGGCTAACCACAAACCCTGATATTCTTATCCTGATAGAGAGTAAGATGGTGGACACAGACTAAGAGAAGTAAGATCCGTTTGGGGCGATAGGAATCGGGCTTGGGTCAAGGCGGTAGCAGCCGGTTTTTATAGCATTACGTCTCAAGTTCCATTCCTATGTAACCTTGTCAAAAAAAAAGATCCGTTTGGGACGGATGACCATGCAAGGGGAACATTCTGGCTCTGGGCAGATCTGCCAAAGATTGTGGGTCATCTGTGACCAAATAACTAACATGCTAGTTTAGCTAATATTCAAAAAACATACTAGTCTAGCTAATTGATCGATTTCAATTGTTTATGAAGGGTTGGTCCAGGGTTTAGATGGTTGTGCTCAGTTGTTTATGGATCGAATAGACTGGGGAAAAGAGGAGGTTTGGGAGGAACTTGATCGAGTTGATTCTTATCATCATCTTCATTGGTGAGTGGGTGGAGATTTTATTCTGTCAAGATGGGTCTATGTAAAGAGCCCTGATGGGAAGAGAACCGCAAGTATGGATAACTTTGAAAGATTCATTACCAGTCATGACTTGTTGGAGATTCCCCTTTTTCGTTCACGATACACATCAAAATCACAGTGGGTTTAACCCAGTTTTACTCAAGTTAGATTGCTTTCCAATTTCTTCAGTCTCATTTCCTAATCTAAGTTCTATGCCCTGTTGAAATGCATGTCCAGCCTTCTTCCAGGAGCATATCTAGGAGGAGGAGGTTCAATGCCACTTAGATTTGAATGGATGTGGCTTCAGGTGGGATCCTTCCAAAACTCATTAGGGAGTGGTGGTCCTAGTTCAATGTGGAGGGGTGGGCAGGATATAGGATTTGTAAGAAGTTACAGCTTTTGAAAGGCAAGTTGCAAGAGTTGAACAAACACTATTCTGGCAACTTACAGACCAATGCTGGCTTCCTTATGAAGACGATTACAAACTTTGATAGAATTGAGGTGGAAAGAGCGCTCATGATTGAGGAATGCAAACTATGCCATAGAGCCAAAGTGGCCCTTGAGGATTTCTTGTGCTTGGAAGAGGTTTCCTGGCACCAGAGATCGAGGGTCAGATGGTTGTAAGAAGTTACAGCTTTTGAAAGGCAAGTTGCAAGAGTTGAACAAACACTATTCTGGCAACTTACAGACCAATGCTGGCTTCCTTATGAAGACGATTACAAACTTTGATAGAATTGAGGTGGAAAGAGCGCTCATGATTGAGGAATGCAAACTATGCCATAGAGCCAAAGTGGTCCTTGAGGATTTCTTGTGCTTGAAAGAGGTTTCCTGGCACCAGAGATCGAGGGTCAGATGGTTGTAGGAGGGAGCTAGAACCACCATACTGTTTCATTTCATGCAAATTTCAGGACACATTTCATACATGGAGTTCCATTAAATAATGCTACGTACAGGGGATAGAATGAACTAAAGATGCAATCACTGAAATATTTAGGATGTCTTTCACTGTTGAGAAAATTCCTTGCCTTTTGCTAGATGATCTACCTTACATTGCATTAGCTTAAGAGACGGTGCAGTGGGTTGACAGGCTGATTAAAGAAGGTGATATAGGAAATGACAATTTCTCTGACTGCAGGCAGCATACAGAATGGACTACACCACTCTTTCCTACAGGAAGGGGTTGCTTTATTAGGGGTCTTTCCTTCTCATAGTTGCTGCTAGCTTTCTTTCATTTGCAGATGGTTTCTTTTCTTTGGTCGGAGAATCATTGAGGATGCTCCAAGCATAACTTGGTATGTGAAGAAATGGGCTGCTGGGGACGGACGGCTTTCTGATCCCTTTCTTTCAAGAGTTTTAAGCGGATCTAGAGGACGAGATTCTGGCTATGTTTCAAGAGTTCTATGAGAGAGGCAAAATTCATGGGGAGATGAATTTGACATTTAGTCCTCTGGTACCAAAGGACATTATAGGAGATATCAACCTAAGGCCGATATTTTTTGCTAGGCAGTGTTTTTAAATCATAGCAGAAGTCCTGGCTTCCAGATTGCATGTGGTTGTCTCACACAACCACCATTTCTGAAATACAAATATAGGTCTATGGTAGCACACAAGTGCATGCACTTGAGTCATAGATGTAAATTCCCAGAAATCATATGTAAGGTGGATTTGAAATAAACTCACGAGATGGTGGACTAACGTAATCTTTGATTATATTACGAGATGTGAGGGGGTGAGGTGGATAGTAAGATGCCTAAGATCAGCCACTTTTCAGTAGTAATTACTGGCAATCCTATAGCTATTTACTAGCTCCAAAGGTTTGTGTTAAAGTGATCCCCCTTTTGCCCTTTCTCCTATTGATTATGGCAGAATCATTTAGTAGAATTTTAGATTGGGTCTATGATCCAGGCATGTACTCTGGGTTTAAAGCATCTTTGAATGGTTTTATTGTCTCTCATATGCAATTTGCAGACAAAACTTTAACTTCCTGTGAAGCTAATGTCGAAAATATTCTGACGTTGTAGCTGTTTTTACGTTTCGTTGAGGTGGCATCAGATATTATGGTAAACATGTCTAAGACCAAAGTAACGGTTGTTCTGGTCCCTTGCGCACAGTTTGGGCAATGGGATCGCTGTCCTGCCCTGCAGATATCTCGAATTGTCACTTTGGCTGAAGGAGCTATACAAGTAATGTAAGATTAATGTTGGAATGGTAGACATTCTAGATTCTGGGTCGATAACTGGATTGTGCCAGGCTCTCTTCAACTGCAATTCCCTGAAATCTTTGCCTTGGCCATAAACCAAAATATCACCTTGACCAAAGTGCTAGAAGTGGAAGCGCAGCAAACCCCGTGGTCTCAGGGCCAAGGAGTTCCCTAAAAGCAGCATAGATTGGACCTTCACACTTGTTACAGGTCCTACAGTAGTTCTGAATTCATACACAGACTAAATCAATCCATCTTCCCTGGAGACCAAATTCATCCATCCTTTCTTTGGTTCTTTTGTACTTCACTTAAAAGACACCGTCATATTTATCTTGGTGAGGTTTTATAAGTCTTTTTAATTTCTCATTTATTATGTATTGTTTGGGGAAGGGCATGAAAATGCAGTATAGTACATTTTGCATTATTTTGTGTTGGTGCTTGCTGGTCAGAACTATGTTTTGCTACCACCAAAATCAAGTCCCACTCAAAACATCGCTTAGAAGCTGCAGTTTGTGTCATTTTTTAAAAGGGGCCGGGACCCCTTTTTCTCCTTATTTGGATGGTGGAGAATAGTGTGCGCCCTATTGGAGCACAGAACTACGGGGTAACATTTTTAGTTTGGAAAATGGAGCATTATTAAGGAAGATCTATTACGTTGGATTCTTATGAGAACACATTCATCTTAATGAACATATGAAGCTGGTACTACTTACTGAAAAGGTCCTGGTGAATGGCTTCTGAAGACCATAACTAGGTAACACTTTGACTGCATTCTTCCATTGTCAATGGTTGGAGGTCGAGACCATTATTCCTTAGGACAAGTTTGGATTCACGATTTGGTGTATTGTGACTATTATTAAATGCGATTGAATGTGAAACACATATTTTCTTGTAAGGTTAAGACTTTACGAGTTTATCCGATGCATTTTTCAAACAGAAGGGTTCAGAAATGGTCTTAGGCATGCGTGTTGCAGAATAGTTCTCACTATAGTTTGGTAAAAAATTAGAACTTAAGATATGCTCACAACACCCAGGTATTGGATCTTATGTTTAGAATGCCTTAAAAGTGTAGTATATGAAAATATAAATTGTTTAGAATCGTGCCTTGAAAATGTAGTTTCTGAAAATCAAAACTGATTAGAATCAATGATAGTTCTCTGTTACATTTACTCGCACTGTCACCATTTTTATTTCTTTTCGAAATTTCCTGATGTGCTACTTAAAATGATAATGCCAGTGAGGGGTACATTTTGTTACAGACTTGTTTTTCCTTTGAAAATAATGCTGTATATGAGCATCTGCTCTTTACGTATGAATTCTACCTCTATGAGTTCATTCTCAACTGATGTCAATACTACAGCACCATGTGATCAAAGTTGAATTCCTACTGTGCACAGTATGTCTGGTACATGTACTTGTCATGACTATGGGCCATCTAAATACATACTGTGGATTAATAAGTGTTTGCAATTTTTCAGGTGCTTTTATTTGGCGAAGTCTTACAGTTTGGCTGGAAAACGGGCTGAATCATATGCACTGTATTGCCGTGCACGCTCACTTGCTGAAAATGTTCTTCAGAAAGTTCAGCAATCAATGAATCCAGATAAGGTGCATAGTTCTGTGATGTGAAAGAACACTATGATCCAATGGACTGTGGAATACACAATGGTGCATTAGGGTCATCCCTTTCTCTCTTGCATCCGCTCCATGGATTTGTGTCTTAATTTCGTGAACTTTTATAGGGAATGAAAGAATTGGAGTTCCTAATAGCAAGCTGCAGATCGAACAGCTGCATAGAGCATGCTTTAGGGGTGATGGAGGAAGAGAAGGCCAAGGACAAAATCTCTAAAGGAGTTTCCTCCATTTCCCTATCCGGGAATGATAATAAGGTAACTTTCAGTTTAATGGTCATTAATCTTGTATTTACTGTTGGCTAACTTCTTGTTTCTTTTACTCAGTAAAGGGAGTGGTTATATCAATATTAACTGGAGAAATATATGCATTATAATGGGTAATACTTGGTGCACTCCATGGCACAAGATGAGCCCAAAATTTTATCATGTCTTGTGAAGCGTTATTTTCTTTTCTGAAAAGATTTATGGAACATTGAATTCACTATTGGTGCAGCCTGATAAGTTCCTTGTGGACAATCTTGATGCTTATGAGTCTGCCGTGGGTGAAGCTGACTCAAAGGGGCCTCCAGCCATTGCCAAATTCCCACCAGCTTTTCAAGCAGTTGTGTGTAATCCAATTGTATTGGATATTGCCTTCAATTCCATTGAATTTCCGTCTCTAGAGGCCAGGATGAAGAAGGACAAGAAGGGCATATTCAGCAGGCTTTGGCGTTGACTCCCTCTTTCTCTCTCTCTCTCTCTCTCTCTCTCTCACACACAGTAATTTTCAACTTTATCTGAATGTACTAATTGGCTTGTGAAATATTGGGTCTTTTTAAATTCTCACAAAAAATAGAGATGCACCAAATTGAGTTCCTTGAAGTTTTGACTCGTGCAATATGCATTATATGCTGAGTTTCTTTTTGTCCAATTGACATTTTGTATGGGTGCAAATTACATTTATTTTTGGATAAGTACAGTACAATATGCTTGAAACTTGTCAACCGTCCAATGTCAACAATATACAGGTGTGATTTTTGTTGTAGGATGATAAGGTTGGAAGACATTTCTTTTGTTGATAAACCTGATATTGAGTGATTATTTTTATTTAGAGGAGAGAGAGAGAGAGAGAGAGAGAGAGAGAGAGAGAGAGAGAGAGAGAGAGA